TGATATTAATTAAAATACAAACTAACATTTTTCTATACTACAACAGAATACAATAATAAGCATTTATAGTTAATTCTATAATTCCTTAGTTTAGGCATCAGGGTTACGTATGGGACATATTCGATAGACTGTGGAATGTGTGGTTTCTGCCTCATTTCCTGTTCCTTGTTTGGTTGTGGACTTAGGGCAAATCCACATAGTCAACTGTCTATTCAATGTTGGTTTATTCGTGGCTAGCATGAACTAAGTGGTTATAGATGGAACTGATATTATCTCACTCTTACTAAAGAAAATATTGGATTTTCTTGGAAACATATAGACATTTTCACTGATTCATTAACAGGTTTTTATTACAAAAAGATACTTATGAACTCACCAGCTTTTATGCTGATACTCTTTTTCAAAACCGCTTGTATTTTCAGGAAATCAGTAGACAGGTACCTCGACAGACTTTTGGGCAGACGGAGCGTATGAAGTTTCTTATTTCTTTTTTGTTACTTTTGGATGTATAAAAATATGAAGCAAACAGATGTAAACACTTATTATATATATTCAATGTAATGGTTGTGTTTACTTTGATTACTATGATGCAATTGTTGTGATACTATACATGAAGTCATCCGCCCCCGAACGTTTCCGCCGTTCCGGTTTGGGGGTGTGACACTGTTCTCGCGAATCTCTTCATCTGATAAAATCTTTCTAGAAGGCCCTATCTCATTAGATGAAATTAAAGAGGTTGTGTGGGCTTGTGGAGGTGATAAGGTCCCTGGTCTCGATGGGTTAATGTTCAAGTTCATCAAGGCGTATTGGGATATTTTGTTGGGTGACATAACTCTTTTTTGTCAAGTACTTTGAGCGGTTTGGAAGACTTGATCCATCATGTAGTTCTTCTTTCATTCCCTTCATCCATAAGATCAAGGATCCTTTATGCTTTAGTGATTTTCGTCCAATCAGCTTGATTAGTTGTTTGTATAAGATAATCTCCAAAATTCTCGCTTCTCGTCTCAAAAAGGTTATTGGTCATTGCATTGATGAAGTGCAATCTACATATATTGAAGGCATGTACATCCTTGATGGACCCTTAATTGTGAATGAAGTGTGCACATGGGAGAAAAAAGAAAAGAAAAAGATATTATTGTTCAAAGTCGAGTTTGACCAAGTCTTTGACTCAGTAAATTGGGAGTATTTGGACTCAATCCTTGCCCAAATAGGATTTGGAGATAAATGGAAATGGTGGATAAAAGGATTTTTGGAATCAGCTAAGGCATTTGTGTTACTAAATGGTGCCCCAACAAAGTAGTTTTCAATGGAGAAAGGGGTTAGTCAAGGTGATCCCCTTTCACCCTTTCTTTTTTTTATTGCTATGGAAGGACTTAATGTGGTTTTGAAGACTGCTTGCAACAAAGGTATTTTCAAAGGAGTGCAACTTCCAAATAATGGGTTGGCTATCTCACACCTATTGTATGCGGGTGACGCCCTCTTATTAGGTGAATGGTCAGAAAGCAACATCAAAAATCTTGCCAGAATATTGAGGTGTTTTCACATCTCATGCGGACTGAAAGTGAACTTTAATAAGTCCAAAGTTTTTGGAGTTGGGTCCACTCTACTTGAGACCTCTCGTCGGACCGGACCACTTGGTTGTGAAGCTGCTTGCCTTCCTTTCAATTATCTGGGAGTACCCGTGGGAGCAAATATGAACCTTAAGAAAAACTGGAAACCAATTATTGACAAGTTCATGACAAAACTTACGACATGTAAATCAAAAACACTGTCATTTGGAGGAAGGCTAACTTTAATCTCATCTGTATTAGGTAACCTTCCGACATATTACCTGTCGTTATTTCCTGCACCAAATGGAGTATTAGAAGAACTCGAAAAAAAATCAGGAGAGCTTTTCTATGGGGTGGGTCGAATGACACATCAGCAATCTGTCGGGTATCATCGGAAAATATCGCAACATCCAAAAAAGATGGGGGCCTCGATGTGGGATCGATCAAAGCTCTTAATATTGCGTTAATCTTAAAATGGTGGTGGCGCCTAAGATCGAACCTATCCCTACTTTGGTGTAGAGTTATTTCATGCATTCATGAGCTTCATTCTAAACCTGACAAGTACTATGCAAACAAATATATAGGAGGTCCACGGAAAAATATTTTAAGGGTAAAAAAAGAATTGATTAAACTTGGCATTCCTATATCCAAAATTCTCTAAAAAACAATCAATTAGGATAACATAACGTGGAGATGCAACTTAGCCTCGGATGGGAAATACCTAGTTAATTTATTACGACGAAGAGTTGACCAAAATACCCCTATAGACTCACCTAAGTTAAATTGGTTAAAGGAGGTTCCTAATAAAGTTTCATGCTTCGTTTAGAGGGCCATTTTAGGCAGATTTCCATCGGCTATGGCTTTGCAACGAAGGGGGTGTATCTTGATTCCACAGCTTGCAAATACTGTAACCATGAGGAGGAATGTGGAAATCATATTCTGGTTCAATGTCCGTTTGCTAGACTAGTGATGGAGGAGATATTTAAACGGTGTGGTTTACAAGCTGTTCAATTCAGTACAATAACGAAAGTTATTAATTTTGCTGCATGCCGGAGGAATTGCCCAAAGAAGAGACTTATCCTTCAAGGCATTGTCTATGGCACCCTGTGGAATATTTGGAAAGAAAGAAACAATAGAATATTTAACAACAGGTGAATATCACCCACTAAACCGGCAGACATGATACAGTCCTTAGTATTCACTTGGATCAAATTCCGAGGAACAACCGGGGGGGGGGGGGGGGGCGGAAAAATAAACCGGAATATTTGGTGTATTGAGATCAACTCAAGTCTTAGACACTAAAACTTCACTTTTTTATTTCATATGAGCAAAGACCCTATTTATAGGCTCAAGAGAGTTGGTTACATAATTGAGTTGCAATGGTTTGATTGCAATACGACATATATATTTACAATATAGCCCCCTAGACTATTGAGGGTCTTATACTTTATTCTACCGACACTTACACTACTTTATATTACATTGACAATAATAATTATAAAAGAAAAATGACAAATAATTACAATTCCTTCCACAATGAAAGGACGCGTGTCTTTAATAATGTTTTTAATATGTCATTGCTAACAACCGGGGGGGGGGGGGGGGGGGGGGAAATAAACCGGAATATTTGGTGTATTGATCCTTTTTCTTACTTCTCCCTCTCTAGCAACTTGCTAGAGTTGAGTTTCTTTTATGGGTTAATGTCATAAAAACCCTCAAGTTTTCAAGATTTTGTCGGTTTTGCCCAAAGTTGAATTTTATGTCCGTTTTTACCCTAACATTTTCGAAAAAATGTTTGGTTTTACCCTTTTACCGGTGATAACGGTTTTCCAGGTTACCATTATATTAAATTCGCAAAAAAACCCTTAAGTTTACCATTTTTTTGCGTTTTTACCCTTAAGTTTATAATTTTTTTTTTTACACTTTTACCCTAAGTATTTTTTTTCATCATATACGTATTCATGCAGAAAAATCGTATTTATATACGAAAAAATGTTTAATTATATATATATATATATATATATATATATATATTTTGTGTGTGTATGTGTTTTTGCAAGGTTATATCATTTAAAAAGATAAATAATATTTTAGAATTATGAATACGTGTTTTATAGATATAGTTTTTAGAAGTATAAATACATATTTTTACATTTTTATATATTAATATGTATCTATACTTCTAAAAATATATTTATACTTTAAAAAAAAACATATATCAAAATACATATTTATACTTCTAAAAATATATGTATATACTTATATAAACATGTTTATGATTGAACAAGTTTTTTTTATTGATATGTATATTTTTGAATACATAAAAATACATATTTGTAGTTCTAAAAACATATTAATTTGTTTTTTTACATCTTAAATGGTTTATCCAAGAAAAAAACCTACACACACACACATAGGGGCGTTATTCGGTTTGGTTTTCCGGTTTTCGGTTAAAACAGTTCGATTTATTGGTTTTTTTACATTTTAAATCTAACTATAACCGAACCAAATAAGGTTCGGTTTAATCGGTTCCGGTTTATTCGGTTATGGTTTATTTGGTTCGGTTTAACAGTTAAACCGAATAAAATTCAGCATGTAAAAATAAATATTAAACTTAAAGAAAAAAAGACTTACCAAAATATTACCAAACAAAGAAACTACATTAATATATAAAATACTATATTCAAGTTTTCAAAATAGGTCAATATAATTTTAATCGTACGATTAAAGATTATTTGGTTAATTTGTTTTTGTTTTTTAATACAAAATATAGAACAACTATAACTTTATAATTGTTAATAACTAAAAAAATCATGAAAATCTTAGTAACTAATCAATATATATATATATATATATATATATATATATATATATATATATATATATATATATATATATATATTAAATAGCTTATTCGGTTTTTCGGTTTAACAAAAACAATGAAATTTTAACCAAAAACCAAACCGAATAAGGTATCCTTATTCGGTTAACCAAACCAAATAACCCGAACCAAATAAACCAAACGTCATTTGGTTCGGTTTGGTTATTCGGTTTTGGATTTTTATGACACCCCTACACACACATATATATATATATATATATATATATATATATATATATATATAAAGAAATAACATTAAAAAATGTAAATACAATATTTAATTAAAATTTTTTCGTATATAAATATGATTTTTCTGTATGAATACGTATAATATGAAAAAAAATACATAGGGTAAAAGTGTAAAAAAATTATAAACTTAAGGGTAAAAACGTAAAAAAACTGTAAACTTAAGGGTTTTTTGCGAAGTTAATATGATGGTAACCTGTTATCACCGGTAAAAGGGTAAAACCGAACATTTTTTGGAAAATGTTAGGGTAAAAACAAACATAAAATTCAATTTTGGACAAAACCAAAAAAACCCTGAAAATTTGAGGGTTTTTATGACATTAGCCCTTATTTTATTTTATATATATTTATTGGCTGGTTCCGAAAAACAAACTTACATCAAATAGGCTCTTACAGTATCATCACGTATCCATCAAAATACATGTTATTTCGTACCCCCTTCTTCACAAAGGCGAAACTATACGATTATCATTTTCTAAATTTTCTTTATATTGAATTCTGGACCGGGGCTCCCGCCGCGATCCATCGTGAACACAAACCCTTCACCAATCAACACATCCATACCCGTAAGCTCCATCGAACTGAAATTCCCTGCACCACAAGACGTCGCTCTTTCGCCTAGTCCAAAACTATCACAACCCGTATTCTCAAACTTATTTTCGAACCCTAAAAACGTTATCTTCTCGATCTTCAACTTTCGACTCAACGCAAACCCTCCATTAACGACTTCCGATGTCATAATCACATTTCTATACTCAAAGTGGGCGGAGAATCTCACCAAAGTCCAGTTACCATCGTCTCTGCCAAACCCTAAATCCTCCCCATCGTCCAAAAACACCTCGCCGGTGGTATTCCCAGTCTGGCTAAGCACCACCAGTACGTGAAACGGCGACTCTCGGACTGAATCCGTCGTCAAACCTTCTCTCTGGAAGAACAATATGTTCCCTTCGCGGACATGAACATTTATACTGTCCGATGGTGCGTCAAGCTTAACGTATCCCCCCGATTCCGCAATCACTGTATCTGTATAGTCGAATAGATTGAACCAGTTTCCTGATGGGAAGTATGCGTCGATGGAAACTGTGTTTGGGGTCAAAACCGGGGAGATTAGTACACCATTTCCGAGGAGAAACTGTGTGCTAATGTTGTAAGTGTTGGTGTCTTCCGGGAATGAGAAGAAGAGAGGTCTGGCGATGGGAGTGCCATTAAAATGGGCTTCGTACATTAAGGTGTAGAAATAAGGGAGCATTTGGTAACGAAGGCTGAGGACTTTTCGAGATGTTGCTGCTACTGAATCCCAAAGGTAAAGCTCTTGTCTTGTGCTTTGTTTGTCTGAATGGTCCCTTGCAAATGGGTAAAAAGCACCTAACTGCATTTTCAGTTTTTTCTTATTAAATTATTGTATTTTGAAACATCTGTCAAACACTTGCTATAAAAGTATACATCTTTTAAAGCACAATGCTCTAATAGAAAAAAAAACGACTGTAAGATATAATAAACAAATAATAAAAAATAATTTGCAATTTTTTTCAGTAGGAGTTTAGGACATTACTATTTGAAAACTATATGGTGAAAATTGCATGTATTTGGAAGATATTGTTGTAATTGAACATGTTTTTCAAAGTACAGTTTTGTAATAGGAAAAAGAAAATTGGAAACGGGTTGCTATAGTTAAGGAAAAACAATAAAAATATGATGCTATTTTTGTATGTAACTCTATATTTTTTATGATCCAACACTATCGTTTCACTTTTATGTGCCAAGAAACCATCCTATAATATTACATTTGGGCTAAAGGCAAGAAATAGCTATTTACTTTTCACTTTTTAAGTATTATATATTTATAGTATCCTAGTTTTGTTTCTTTATGTTATATTATTGTACTTTCAGTATGTTTCTAAATTAGTTTGAAAAAACTACACGTCTACGACACGTACTTTCAATTTTTTTTTCTTATTAAAAAACCTTTGAAAAATCTACCAAATTATAATAGTGAAAATTGCTTTGTATCTAGAAGACATTCCTATAATTGGATATATTTTTATTTTCTTTCAAATTATAATGTTGTAATAAGAACTGAAAACATAAACAAATCATTGAATGTCGGTTACTATTTTTTGCATTTAACACCATAATATTTTTGCTTGTGTTTCATCTTTTTGTGCGTCCATCTTGCTATAGCTATACTAGTAATTTCAAAAAGTCTCAAACTATTACATTTTAAATTGTTTTACTTCTTGAAATCTCTTAAAATTTTGTGCTTGAAGAGTATTTAAATCTTTTATGTTTACCATTTATCTTGTCATGGGTTAGCCTTTGTGTACTAGCAATTCTTTTTAGTAGGCTTTCCCTTCCTCATACTTGTTTTTCTTTCAGATAACTATACATTTCCTTTTTTTTTTTTTTTTTTCGAAAGAGAGATAACTATACATTTCTTAACAGTTCATGACTCATACCTGAATCCATCGTTGGCAAAGTTCTTTAGTAGTATTTCCAGAAAAACCACAAATATCGGCCCCCACCATTGGAATCCCAAACAACCCGAAATTCAAAATACTTGGAATGGAATACGCCAAGTCATCCCATGTCGCAGCATTATCTCCAGTCCAGTGTGCTGTATATCTTCCGGACCCCACAAACGTTGATCTCGAAAGTATAAACGGCCTTTTTTCCGTTATTTTTACCAAAGATGCCTTTGTTGACCTGGCTTCCATAAATCCATACAAGTTATGAGCATCATAAGCAGTGATGTTCCCAAAATGCAACGAACTTGCAGGAACGGTTTTGTTATTAGTTGGCATTTGGATTCCGGAGTTGTTAATTTTATATGGAGGGTTATCGAGTTTTGAAGTTGGAATTGGAGGGGAGGAAATGAAATTTGACTCTTCATTCATATCAAGCCAAATTCCATCGAATGGAAGAAGATTGTAAAATCTTTTGATCTCGTTGCCCCAAAAGATTCTTCCTTTTGGATTTAAAAAATCCGGGAAATTAACAATTCCAGGCCAAACCTCTCCAGAATACGGGATTCCGTCACGTTTTATGTAGATATCGGCTTTCAGCCCTCTTATGTAAGTTGCATAACTCATGTTCACGCTGATACCTATAAAGAGCCATTGATTCTGTTAGACCAATATACAGAATTTACTCTAATGCAATACTATTTTATATCGGTTTAAATGCAGGAAGTAACAATTTACTTTTGTTGATTTGTTTATTATGGTGAAGATTTTTAACAAATATAGATTAGTACCTGGATCTAAAATGAGCACGTATTTCTGACCGTTTTGGTGAAGAGTTTTAACAAATGCCGACATTTTATCCAGAGGAAAATTGATAGGGTCTAACGTGAAATCTTTATAAGCATCCATATAGTCTATATCTGTCCACATTGCCTCTAGCGGGATCTTGGCTTTTGCATATCCATCAACAACACTCTCAAGATCATCAACATCTTTGTAACCCCATCGACACTGATGGAACCCTAAACCAATTACCAAAATGAATATTGTTAGCTTAATTTTGTAAACAAAACATGTCAATTTTCAAATTGGAAGGGAGAATCTATGGATAACGTAAATGAACTCCCCGAAGGACCAATAGGGCATGGGGGTTGGTCGTCCGATTAAACGAGTGTACTGATCCATGACTAATTTAGGCGAAGGTTCACCAAAAAAATAGAAGTCAAGAACACCCCCAATTACCTTATACGTAATACTATCGCCTTTATACAAAACATCCATCCCGTTGCTATTGAGCAACAATACACCATGAGTAGTCCACCACTTTACTATTAAGATCCGGTGATCTGACATCTATATAATATGGATGTGATCCATATAGATTGACATCAGGGTTAGCACTTCCAATATCGGCATTCCAAAGTGTTAGGGTTTGATTGTGCGTTAATTTGAACGAATGTTTGGTGTGCCCTCCAATGCCGTAGATGGAAGATTGGTTAGCAGGAAGTGAAGATGTTAATTCAAGGTATTGATCTTTGAAGATGAGAACAGTGTCGGAGGTGTCGAAGAGTATATCTTCGGTGGAGCGACGGGTGATTGTGAATCCGAACTGGGTCATTGTGCCGGTGGTGGTGTTGTGGAGGGTTAGGATAAGGTCGGAGGTGGGATCCGAGAGGAGGACTTCTGATGGATTCTGTTGGTTGGATTTTAAGGGGAAATTGGAATTTCGTGGTTGGCGTGGAAGGACGTGGGTTGGAATTTCCCATCTTTGGTGCTTAGCATCAGTGATTCGAACTCTCAAACAGTCTGCTGTTTCAAAGCTTTACAAAAAGCATAAATTTTAGTCATTTCAGCCGTTACCGTCAATAGGCTCTGTTAAATATATGTGAAATGAAAAAAAAATACCCTTGTCCTTTTTTAGTTTTATTTTTTTCCCATATTTGTGTTTTAAGTATTAACAAAATGGGTCCCACCCCACCCCACTCCGCTCCCCATCCCCGATCATCCCCTCCCTTATTGTCTCATTGCCGATTTTTTTTTTTTCCGGCTACCACCGATAAGAAAGTGAGTTTTCAAGAATTTAAATGGTTGTAGGTTGCAAACAACCATGAAGTAGAATAAATCGAGCTTTTCAATGCTTCATTTTCATTTCATACAACCTTCAACCTCTAGATAGAAGTGGTACACGTCAGCTCACTGGAGACATAGTAGGATAAAAAGGTTAGAGAGATTCGGTATGATTGTGGTTTTGTACAACTCCGGGTACATTAGGGTAGAGAGATTCGATGATAGAGGAAGTGGAGAGACATAGTAGATTTGACAGGTTCCAACGTCGAGGAGACTGGAGGTGGCAGGTGCCGTTGTAGAGAGTGTTGCCGACGATGGTTGCATCGCCCCGAAGATGAATATGACATTCTGCGCCAAATGAATTGTCCAGACAAGAACCTATAACCTCCTCATTTCCACTTATTATTATTATTATTTTTAATTTTTTTATTATCTTTGACACCAACATAAAGGTGGTGGGTTGGGCTCAGTACCGTGAATACACGGCTTTGCCATGTTATGTACTAGACAATTTGAAGCCAATTTGGGTGCTTAGTACATGGCTTTGCCATGTTATGTACTGTGGGCTCAGTACCCCCCCAAAAAAAAAAAAGAAAAAAAGAAAACTCTCTCTCTCCTTTCTTTGTACAATGTGCATCAATATTTGTGCCATGTGCATTAGGGATGAAAAATAATGGAAAAGATTCATTGATTTTGTATTAAGGATGGGATGGATGAATGTAACAGAAGATAGAAAAAGCTATGTGGCTAAGAATGGGAGGTATGGGGAGTATATATGGACTCCACTCCCACCACCCTAAGGATCCACCACCCCAACCCCCAAATCCCGTCTCTCACCAAGAACCCACCTTCCATACCATACTTCATCTGATCGACTATGGCGACAGCACAACTGTACACATTGTTATTTACAACTTCCTATGAGGATAAAGCAACGATTCGTCGTCTTTCATTTTTCTGGTGAGGAACGCTCAATCGCAGGGACATTTTTTTGGTTATTCTTTCCAAAAGATATGAAGAAGAATTGAGAATGGATCTCAGGAAGCTTTAAATTCCGCAACATCATCCTTGATATGCTTCATATTATTAATGATTATAAATATAAATGAGTAAAAGAAAAAAGAAAAGATATAAGTAGTTTCCTTATATGGACAGAGGGATGGGCGTTGCAATTTGTTAAAGCCATATGGATATATTCTATCAACATTTCAAAAAAGTTGGATCACATGTACGATTCTAACCAAACCACACGAACCAAAAATGTAATTTACTCAATAATCCGTGCATAGGTTTTGTCGTTTTGACTATAAGGACAAGCTGGATTTCGAAAACAAAAATTAGAACAAAGCACATCCAAATAATAAAATAGAGCTTTAGATTGTTATACAGCTTGAAGAATCCTGCCTCGCAATAAAACGCAATGCCAGAAACACGCTAAAATCGTCTTGGGTCCTCTGTGTTTGATTGATGGATCCTAAACACACACAACTATGTGTAGATTGTGCTCAAACGAAAAAAAAAAACAGAACAACGACTTTCTAGGATACGTAACTGATACAGGAAACAAACTGAAATTTGACGAAATCAGAAGTACCTTGCGAAGAGGCGAAGCTCATCAATGTCAGGTCCAAATACCGAAGATTTCTTATTGAGTTGAAGATCAGCGACCAATGATTTTCCCGACGAATCTAGGGCAATAGATCGGAGAGAGTACCCATAACCAATCGCTTCCTGCTGTTTAATGGAATCAGCGAGGGTTTTCCGATCAATTGAGAGTAATAAAAACAGTATAACTGCTATCGTCGCCATTGTTTCTGATGGAATCGTCGTCGATTCATAGGGATGTACATTGCCGCTTTTTTATGGGTTTAACAAAAAGCGAAATTAGAGTCCACTAAAGTCTACGCTACTCATCGTTGCTTGTTCTTGAATGCTTAGTTTTGTATCATGTGTTCCATATGCCGGCCGAATGGGAAGTGGCGTTGGATATGCCGTGGTCTAATTTTCTTTCACCAGGTTGTATAAACATAGTGGGTCATTCCCAACAGATAATAATTTGAACTAATAAAATAATAATTGTTCTATTATCGAGATCAGTAATCAATATTTAATCCTGAAAATTTTAAGTACCTCTCCATTCTTTCTAATTCCATTCCTTTGATTTGATTTTTTTTTTAATTATGTTTTAATTTATATTATTATTATTATTATTATTATAAATTTCAAACAAAATTTTATAATTCCGAGGATGTTATAAATTCGGACGACGTTATAAAATTCAAACGGCTATATAAAATCGGTTTTTAATTATTTTTTATTTTATATTGTATTATTATTATTATTATTATTATTATTATTATTATTATAAATTTCGAACAACATTTTATAAACCGAACGACATTAACGTCTATATAAAATCGGTTTTTAATCTTTTATATATATATATATATATATATATATATATATATATATATATATATATATATATATATGGAGTGGTTCAAATGAGAACCCAAAAAGGTTAAGAACCATAAGAACCATTTTTTAAATGTTTTCATTAAGACATTTTGACTAATACAACATTTATAATGTATTAAGATAACTTTTCCATTACTTAATTTGTCACTTGTTGTCACTTGTTGTCAGGTCCACCGTCGAACCATCGTCGAATCACCGTCGGACCGCCGTTGGACTAACATTAAATTCATTGACATTTTTTTGGTCGTGTTCACAGCTTAATAGAACAAACATTAAAGCTTCAAATTTTTTGGAAATACTTTTTATTTTTCTAGCTAAAATATACAAAATTTAAGTAAAAAAAATAGAACTATGCCTTGATAAATTCATTTTTTTTTTCTAAATTGTATATATCTTTATAGAATATATATTGTGTATAATAATGGTATTCACACTTTAAAATACATTATTCACAGTTTAATAAATATAATAATTCACTAATATACAATTTAATATTTGCATGCGTACCTTCATTCGTATTTGAACATAAAATTATATAAAATATACAATTTAATACAGTTCGGTTTTAGTTTAATACATAAAATTCACAACATAACATAATACAATACATTATACACTAATTCACATATTTAAAAAAGTCGAATCCAAATTCTATTACCACCACCACCAACTACCACATATCACCACCAGCCACATGTGTCACCGTTGCAATCATCTTTCGTTCCAAATTAGATATGTATATCAAAATTATTAACTACCATATTAAATACTATATTCACAATTTAATAAACCAATTAATTCACTTATTATGAGTTTAATGCAAAATAATTATAAAAACTAATACTCTTACGTATTTATACAACGCAAAAAATAAATATATTCATAAGAAAATTAATACAAACATTCATACATAAATTATTCATATTTTAATACAAAATTCTTAAAATTTACAACTTAATACAATTAGTTCGCTGTTTAAACAGAAAATTCATAGCTTAATGCAGTCAATTTAAAATCTTATACACAAAAATCACAGTTTAATACACAAAATTAGGAGTTTAATATAGCCAATTCACAGTTTAAACAAAAAATTCACAACTTAATGTAGTTAATTCATAGTTCAAAACACAAAAATCATAGCTTAATACATAAAATTCACAACTTATTACAAAAAATTCACAGCTTATTAACACAAAGTATAAAATTCACAGTCATATTATCAACTTAAAACTCTTAATACTAAGTTTAATACAAAAAATTCACAGATTAATACACAAAAACTATATATTCACATCCATATTCTCAAATTAAAACTTACATTTACACGTTCATATTGGAAGCATGTCTATGTATTAAAATTAGTACAATATATTCATAGCTCATTTAAAATTATAATACAATTAATTCATTGTTTAGTACCCAAAATTCACAGTTTAATATAACAAATTCACAGTTTAATACACACCAAATATACCTTCACATATACCTTCATATCTAGAGGCTAGTGCTTCTTTTAAAATTTAATTTACACAATATTCACAATTTAAACTGTATATACTTTATTCAAAATTATAGAAAATCATATCTACGGATAAATGCATCTTTCATCTCATATTTTAGAAAACAAAACACAAAATTCATAAAAAAATTGCACAGTTTAATACAATCAATTCAGAGTTTAATACAGTCAATTCACAGTTTAATACACAAAATCCGCAGCTTAATACAATAAATTCATAATTTAATATACAAAAAGTATGTTTTCATAGTCTTATTCTCAACTTAAAACTTATATTGTAAGACTTTCATTCATAGTTTAATAAAGTAGTTCATGACTCTCATTTATATAATTCACAATACTAGTTCAAGACTATCATGCACAATTTAATACAACTTAACAACTTAAAAATCATTAAGGTATTTAATCAAATATTGTGCGAATTTTAAGACTAGATAATATTTCAATTATTAAATTCTACATAATTAGTATTACTTTAAAAGTTCATTTACATATATTTATATATTTACGTAACTTGTCGTATAGATTAAATTTTGTTTGTTTATTAATTATTCTTATTTCCTTAGATATGTCAGACTAGGTATATGTAAACAATAAAAAAAAATATACCTCTTTATTGTGCTTGTGTCTTCAGAGTAAATGGAAGCAATTAAATATGGAGAATTGCAAAACCTTTACACATACTGCACACACATATAGCACATACATATACCTTTAACTTTTTGACATCTCGATACAGAGAAAAATAACTTTGATTTCTCACTTCTTGTAAATCTAACCTTTTGTTTTTAACTATAACGCTTGAAAACCACATGAAATGCTTGTCGGAACATATCTTTGCCGGAACTCGTGACCAAAAAGCACACCTAGTCGTGTTGAACTCACCGGGACGCCTAATCAGTAGTCGAAAAACCTCATCGGAAATTAAAATTAAAATTAAATTAATATATAGTATAAGGTGATATAATTTCATGTATTTATTTAAATCAACGATTATAATTTTATATATAACTAAAAAATATCTCTTAATTAACAATTTATTTGAAATAATTGATTAATAATTTTGAGTTTTTACTATGAAAGTTTAATTAATTTTATAACCGTGGTTCTCACGGGTTATAAACTAATATATATATATATATATATATATATATATATATATATATATATATATATATATATGACAAATTTGAAAATTGAGTGGTTATACTAAGGTAATCTCCAATGGATTAAACCCATAAAGAGTTCTATGAATTGCCATGTAGGAAAGAAAATATACACATTCAATTTAATTCTTAAAAAATTCATAAATTTTCATTAAATTCTATTTCACCGTTCAATGGTCATTCAACTCCACACACTCTCTCATCTATATTATATTCACATTTAACCTATTAAACCCTCATACAACTCCCATTGTAGATGACCAACATTTAAAGAGAAGCTACTTATGTGGTACAATAGAGAAACTCACCAGTCAACAAGCCCAAAACTTGATCTCTTGTCAGAGGGTTTCCAAGCGTTGCAACTAGTAAAAAATTTCCCCGGTGAGACCAACTCCACATTGGTTGGGTCTGACCCGTGTAATATATTCTTTGTTTGTTCAAGACAAAACTCCCAGCGGAAAAAATGGGATAAAGGAGTATTTCCAAGCCATGACTCTAGCCAAAATTTAACCTTACTTTCCGAGAGCCTAATTCTTTTTGGAAGAGCTGGCTAGATGAATATTGCACACGTGGAGCTGAGATGGTAGCTTTGTTATCGTATTCCAAGTTCCACTCATGTATGGATGGTGGTGCTTGAGAGCCTTCTAACTGACCATGCGTGGGCTATATAATGCAAAAAATACATCCTTCCAAATCACCGGTTCCCAACCTTGAAGCGTCGCCACCACTTACCCAGTATTGCAAAGTTTTGTTCTTTTAAAATGCCAACTCCAACACCCCTCCATTCTTTGGATCCATAGTTTTACACCATGCCTCACATATCATATTGTTTGCATGTGATCTTGACTCCCAGCCAAAAAAAATAAAAAAAAAATAAAATTGTTTCGAGTTCCTTCAAGGCTTTTTAGTACCTTTTCAAGAGCTTTAAAAAGTGAGCATGACCCAAAGCTTCCAAGGATGGCCTTTGCACAATGTTAAACGACCCCCCGAAAGACAACATTTTTGCTTTCCAATTGGAAAGTTTTGAGTGGAAATTTTCTATTAAGGATGCCCGCTGATATATACATACGGGAGATTTGAGCACTCATTGGGGGGCCAAACGTAGGTGAACAGAAGGGGTCCACTTGAGCAATTCAAAATGCCTAGGCATGAAGACCAAGACCAATCTCCAACTGTGAATCCAAAAAAATTGCTTTTAGAGAGGTTGACTTTCAATCTGAAAGAAAGCTCGAAGCATCTTAAGGATGATGTTACTTGCGTTTTTAATTGACCAAGAGCCTATGAAGATGCTACCATCGGCATATAGGGCCGGTCCAAGTCGATTTGAGGCCCGGGACAAAAGTAGAAAATGAGGCCCTTCAAAATTTACTAATCATCAAATGATAATACAACGATGTTTATGGAGACGAGTACATTGTCAAAAAAAAAATGAACAATCGAATAAACGAACCATTATGAAAAACCGTTGATTTGGTGTTTGGAAAAAAACAACAATGTGTGTTTGGAGAAAACAAAAATAGATATTTTGATGAAAATTATATATAAAAATGAAGTATGACTCACCTAAACGGCAGGTTATCATGATATTTGTTAATAAAACTACAAACAATCATCATGTTAAAATATGATGCATGATACCAAACTTTTAAAGAAAATGAGGGTGTGAGCGTTTTGTCAAAAATAAAGAGTTATACGACAATTTCTATAATGATTTTTGAATAATAATAAAGAATATAAGGATTATTTTTGTAATTTGAATTCCAATTCATAAAAATAAGAAAACTAACACATAAAATAATTCAAATATAAAAATAATACATAGAACAAATTACTGAAATCGTCCCTGTGGTTTTACGAAAATTGCGTGTTTGGTCCCTAACTTTTGTTTTGCACTCGGACCATCCC